TTATTTATTAAGCTCTCTCTACTTTATGTTGATCATAAAAATCTCGTAATTTTTTCAAGTTTTAATAAATTATTAATTACAATTCTGTAAATCTACTATATCGAAAATTTAATTTTTTGTCATAAAATTCTTCTAAAATTGTTTCTTGTAAAGTAAATAATTAAAATAGCAGTGGAATTGATCAAGTTTGTTTATGACACATGTATACCTGAAATGGCAATGACTATAGTAGTTATTGACAACCGAATCAATAAATTGAGATTAAAGCTGTCTTCAATATTTCTAGCTAGTATTATCAGTTTGTGATGCCTTTTAATCCATGGCCTCAAGAAATTTTGATAATGATTTCTTTCAGCGATTTTTCTTCCGACTTCAACGAAGCGAATCTTCAGAAGTTCCAGTTGGCCGCAGAGATGCATGGTAATAGCAAAGAAAAAGCTATCGCTTGCGCACTCTGCTATGAAGATTATAAATGCCTGTAATATTTGCATGCCCAAAATTGCATTGTACGTGGAATACGAAATTCCTTTAAATAAACATGATGACGGAAGGACAAAAATCCATAAAGTTTCAGTGTCGTTTCCAATAGTTACAACCTGTTATGTAAAATATCTCCAGATATATTATACACAATCACCACCGATACTTCTCATTTGCCTTATAATATCTATTACTATTAACGCCATCTTTCAGCCGGCGTGAACTAACAAATTTAAGAAATTAGGCTCTCGAGTGAACTCACAAATTCAAATAATCGCGGGCTAGTAAGAGCCAGAACGCGGATGGCAGTGCGTCAGTTTCATAGAAAAATAAGTTTTCTATGAAACTGAATATGTGCACAGGGCACGAAATTTACTTGGTGTATACCAAGATTTTTTTAAAAATTAATCTCAATTCGAGATTTATAATAATCCCTCTTTACCCCCCTGGAGAGACGAAGGCGAGAAAAATATCGGGGCGAAGTCGCTGAATCGGGAATCGAACCCGAGTCTTTCGCTTGCCGGGCGACTGCTCTTACCTCTGAGCTATTCAGACCCCACACCACCGATACTTCTCATTTGCCTTATAATATCTATTACTATTAACGCCATCTTTCAGCCGGCGTGAACTAACAAATTTAAGAAATTAGGCTCTCGAGTGAACTCACAAATTCAAATAATCGCGGGCTAGTAAGAGCCAGAACGCGGATGGCAGTGCGTCAGTTTCATAGAAAAATAAGTTTTCTATGAAACTGAATATGTGCACAGGGCACGAAATTTACTTGGTGTATACCAAGATTTTTTAAAAATTAATCTCAATTCGAGATTTATAATAATCCCTCTTTACCCCCCTGGAGAGACGAAGGCGAGAAAAATATCGGGGCGAAGTCGCTGAATCGGGAATCGAACCCGAGTCTTTCGCTTGCCGGGCGACTGCTCTTACCTCTGAGCTATTCAGACCCCACACCACCGATACTTCTCATTTGCCTTATAATATCTATTACTATTAACGCCATCTTGAGATTAATTTTTAAAAAATCTTGGTATACACCAAGTAAATTTCGTGCCCTGTGCACATATTCAGTTTCATAGAAAACTTATTTTTCTATGAAACTGACGCACTGCCATCCGCGTTCTGGCTCTTACTAGCCCGCGATTATTAGAATTTGTGGGATTAAAATATAATATTGTGAAAAAATGTATATAAATAGTACATTAGCATACATAAGAATTACAATTTTTTTAGTTAGATATTGTTTATAATGAGTCTTATATATAATAAATCATAAAATATTCACTACAGATATAAACAAATTTATATCAATAAAGACCGTCCGAACCAAGATGAAGTTGTGTGACCCGAGCAAGAGGCCATTTTGATGGAGGGAATCTCTCATCCGTGAGAAGTACAATAGAGCCGACCTTGATTTGCGTGGAGGGATGATGCTATTTTGAACGCCGATATGCTGCGATGAACCCCTCTGTAGAGTAGTCTGTCACTGCCTGCAGATGAACCGCCGACGTTGAGAAGCAAACAAAGATGGCTACCCAGCCTTTGTGACACTTAGCCTCTCGTCCTCGCCAAGTTTTGAGAGTGAGAGGGCCGGCATAATCAACCCCTGTGTTGGGGAAAGGACGAGATGGCGAAATGCGAGATGATGGCAGTTGACCCATGAGTTGCTGTGCCCTTAGGCCACGTTGTCGAGCACACCGAACGCAGCGGAGAATGCGAGATCTTACTGGGGCTCGGCCACCAACGATCCAGTAAGCCTGGCGAAGATATGTCAAGGTTACCTGAGTTCCGCCGTGAAGAGTCCTTAGATGAGCGTCCGATATAATGAGTTGAGACAGATATGAATCCCGTGGCAAGATGGCTGGGTGCTTGCATTCAGGGTCCAATTGAGACTGTCTGAGTCGGCCTCCGACTCTGAGGATGCCCGAATGATCGATGAAGGCCGTAAACTTGGCGAGAGGATGAGACCTTGACAAGTGTGCTCCGCTTGAGATTATTGTCAGTTCAGATGAGAAGTAAGCCAATTGGACTGACCGAATCCAATATAGTCGTGAACTTTCGAGGTCTGCAGGTGTGAGGGGGGTGGCCAGAGAGGACTGTGGTATACCTTTGAGGATCGCGCAACACCGTTGACAGAGAGCAGTGATCCGAAGAAGCCGTATGAGTGATGAGTAACGATAGAGGAGTTCCCAGAGGTGGTGTTGCTTTGCCGTTGAGGAGGTGAGAAGAAGACCGGGCCGTTCCTCAAGAGTCGCCGCCGAATCCGGCTGAGATGCCATGCTTGGCCAATGTTGAGGAGGCTGTGCTAACCATGAGGGACCATTCCACCAAAGATGATGCCGAGAGAGTTGAGCGGAAGGGAGGCCGCGAAAAGCACAGTCGGCTGGGTTCTCCTTGCCGGGAATAAACCGCCAATGGCGAGAGGCGCCGTAGTGTTCGCTGCAAGCAACGTTGGGCAGTTGACCGTGACTCCCCTAGTTGACTTGCCTGTAACTTGAGAGGGAGCCGTACGACATAACGCCCAGCACGATCTCGTAAATGCGTGGCCTTGAATTGAGTTTCACACTCCTCTTCGTCAGGGTTGAGCTGAGTGGTGGAGGATGAAGGGACCTCTTCTTGTATCCAGAACTTCGTGAGGAGGTCGTGAAGCTCATGATCTACTGCGACATGATGAGAACTATGAACTGAGGCAGTATGTGCCGAGGTCGGGCCGAGAACAATCCATCCGAAAATAGTACGTTGAGCGATGGGTTCCTCCTCAGACCTTTTGATGATGTCGGGCTGGATGAACAGCCCGTAGGAGTCAGCACCGAGGATCAAGTCTATAGGTCCGGGGGTGAGGAAATCTGGATTCGCCAGCTGGAGCCCTCGAGGTGAGGCCAACTATATTCTGCTGTCGCTATGGACGGGAGTGATGTTGTTAGATTCTTGAGGATGTAGGCAGTAACGTTGATGGATTGCGAAGAGTAAATTGAGTGAAGGGGGAGCGGAACGACACCCCGAGTTCGCTCCGACTGAGATCCTCCAATACCGATGATAGGGATAGAGGCGTGCCGTCGAGGTATCTGGAGAGTTGAGATGAATTGCCCGGAAGCAAAGGTGAGTTCAGACCCGGGATCGATGAGCATCCTTACCGAGTGAGGAGAGCCGCAAGGTGATCTGATGGTAGCGCAACAAGTAGCGAGTAAAATTGTCAGGCGAGTGAGAATTACCAAGTGAGATTGAGAAAGGACCGAATGCGAGAGTCACTCTGAAGCCGATGTGCTGGTGCTCTTGGATGGTGAGGCCGGCGCCGACGTCTGCGTAGCCGTGGTTGATGGGGTCACCTTATCTTGCATCGTTGACAAACGTGGGGGCGGTTGACTGTCCATGTGTATCATCGTGTGATGCTTATTGCCGCATTCTCTGCACCTCTTCAGATTTTGACAGGCGACTGCGTTATGCCTGCCCAAGCAATTAAAGCAGAGGCGCTTATCGATCACAATGTTTCGCCGTAGATGAGCAGACATATCTCTGAAACGAGGGCAAGAGACAATGTAATGAGAGCCAGAGCATAGTGCACATCCGGAAGTTTCCGAGATCCCGGAAAGGGGTGAGATGGCCACATGAGCGGTGGCCGCCGATGTCTTGCTGGTCTGTCGTAGTGGCGAGGGAGCTGGTTTTTGTGCTGGAGAGGAGCTCGAGGTTCCGAACTCCATACTCTCCATGGCTCGGGCGCGCCCAGTGAGAAATGTGCGAATGTCTTTGTATGAAGGGGGGTCCGTGATGGAGCCAAGCTTGACTTCCCAGGCCTCTCGAGTGCTTGGGTCGAGTCGCTGGACGATGAGGTGGACCAAGAGATGGTCCCAGTGTTGAACAGGGGCTCCGAGAGACTCCAAGGCATTGAGCGTTTCCGTTGTCGTGTTGAGAAGAGTGTTGAGCTCCTTGGCCGACCGTTGTGAGATGGTCTTGGTGCGGAATAGTCGATCCACCTGAGCCGAAATGAGAAGTCGCTTATTTTCATACCGATTAACGAGAAGGTCCCAGGCTGACGCGAACGCGTCCTCAGAAACCGGCAAATTGGAGATTAGCTGAGCGGCTTCGCCCAAGAGACTGGTCCGGAGGTAGTGCATTTTCTCCACGTTTGATATCTCCGCATTCCGTCCAACCAAGGAGGAGAAGAGATCATGAAAGGGCCTCCACGCTGAGAAGTCACCGGAGAATTGTGGAAGAGTGATCTCCGGAAAATGACGTCGCGCTGATGTCTGACCGCCAATTGAGAAGTTGGCTAGCTGTGAGCCCGACAGAGGGTAAACTTGAGAGCCTGGAAGAAAAAACGGAATACTTGAGCCAAAAGAGATTCCCAAAAGGATGCGATAAATTTCGCCGAGCAGTCGGTGCAGTCTGGGCCTACGCGGTAGGCTTGTTCAGGAAAGGGACGTCGCCGAACACGCACGAATAACCGAGCGCGACGGATGTCAGAGAAAGAGAGAGTGAGAGCGCACTACGGGCGGCGACGATAGCTTGCCGAGCGCCCGAATCCGTCCGGGCGTCGCCGGACACGCACGAGTAACCGAGCGCGACGGATGTCACAGAGAGAGAGAGTGAGAGCGCACTACGGGTGGCGACGATCGCTTGCCGAGCGCCCAAGTCCATCCGAGCGTCGCCGAACACGCACGAAGAGGATCGTTCTCGAACTTTCGCCTGTAGCACGTGGAGGCACACACGATTTCCCAAATCCGCACACAGAGTTCACCTTGAGATGTTCGTTACCGCTCTCACCGATCCGGCTCGAAGGACCAAAAAATGTTTAATAAATAACCCGAGAAATGTCTGGTTTCGGGGGTGTCGGGCAGAACAGTCAATGAGTCACACACATAAAGAAATATGAGCCGCACTTCACAATTCCTCTAGCGATGATATCT